CCGCTAAAACGAGAAAGCGAGTAGAATATATTAATAAATCTTTTATTATGGTTATTGGGGGGAGAGAGAGAGAGAGAGAGAGAGAGAGGGGGGGGATAATGGGCAAAGAGCCCAAGCCCATTTCATAGAAATAAACCAACTATGACTATTTATGTGTTAAAACTTTTACGTAATACAGAAAGCATAAAATAAAAAAAAATGAGCTGCTAGATATTACTTTTAATTGTAATTGTATTCAAGGTAGGTCTCGTGCAGTTGGGCCAAGTTTTAATGGTCAAGTGATCATAATCAAACGGTGTGTTGTGACAGTTAAGTATAAGATAGATCTACCCAGGTAAGTCCGACCGGTCAATGTCGGCGCGTGGCCGTGGCAGGGCCACAGAACGACGGTCTTATCCATTTCGGGGCTAAGAAGGGTTTACCTCTAGCTTTGACAGAGCACGATGTTTTTGTAGTGCCATTATGAATATATAAAGCGGGCAATGCGGACAGAAACATACGATATCATTCTAATATTAAACTTGTGTATTCAGTGAAAAACAGGCGCAATCCACACATGGGCGAACATTGTCAACTTAATCATTATGTAACACAACTGAGGTCCTTTTGCGGCATTTTGCGAGTTCAACTTCACAGTGGCTTCGAGTCAATCGTCTGCAAAAGCAAAACATGAAAAGCCATAACAAGACTCGAAGAAAATCAATGCAGCATTATCATTTATATGTTGATTTGATTGAAAATAGTTGTAAATAACCAACTTGCGCAACAAAGGCTAATGTAAACAACAAATGACAAATTGGCGAAAGCTAGGTGAATACAAAAATATAAAAATATTTTTAGAAACAGAGAAATAAAAATAAATAAAAAGAGAAGGGGAAACAGATTTACTTTTGCCGATTCCTTTTCGTTTTACTCATTTTTACGGTTATGAAATGTGGAATATACTGACACTGCATTTACACAAGAATATTTTATGGTTTATAAACAGTCCTTTCTCTTGTTTTATAACCTTATTTAATGTCCTAAGCAGGTCTTTAAATTTAAATATGTCTTGCAGATTAATCTAACAGCACAAATGAAAATATTTCCTTGAAGTAGTTTACTCTTGCTGGCCTGCTGTGTTGTCTTGTGTTGACTTTAAGGGCGGAGGGACCAGAGCACTGTTTCGGAAAACAATACCTCAAACCGCTTTGTTGACGGTAACGCTTACGCTGTCAGGTACAGCCTCTATATACAATAATTACTCAGGAGAAAGTACTTTGAGAGCCTTCCGCCGTGGTGTCTTCAGTAGACCCCAGACCATTGTGTTGTGTGCCCATACTTAAAGAGCTACTTGATCTTACCAACGAAACAAAACTAACCTTCGCGCATAGTAACTGCGGAGTAGTCAACCAAAACGAGAAAAGGCAAAGTTGGATTACAGGTCTCAGATCAACGGACCTGCGGATAAAATATTACTTAAGTTATATGTAATATGGAATCAGCACTATAATGGGTGGCGACTTTCGTCTTAACAGCTAAACAAATGAGAGGAGAGTTTATGGCCCTTGTGTTAAAATGAAAATTTAGGATGGACTTGCAGTGACGAAGCATAGGGCCTACTCACATATGTAAATTAGCATTTGTTCTGAGGAAAGATAGAAAAGAAAGCAGAAAATGAAATTTTTACAATATAAAATCGTGAAGACGAAAATACCCTCTTGAGTGCATTTACTGCTTTAAGTTGTATTTGATTTGGCTTAGTAATTAAGTAGGCATTCTGAATTTGTTCTGTGCGTTACTAAAATCACTACCAAATAAAACATTACGCTGTTCAGTTATATGTCCCTAAATTGGAAGCAAAGGAGACGAGCCTTCTGGATTCAATGTTTTTATTCTATTTTTAATTTATTGATTTATTTCTAAATGACTGACCAGTCACTCAGAACGCCATGTCTTCCAGTACATTTCAGAAGGAGGAACTTTATATCAACGCAACGTTTTATTTGACGGCTTTATATAGTTTTAAAGGTCAGAATTGGGAAAGATTAGTAGCTTTGCATGATATGTACACATGAAAATATTAATTTGAGAAATTTCAAAATTTTTAACGCGTACGCCTAGAGTATAACTTTACTTTCAGCAGTCAGGGGCGGATCCAGGATTATTTGAAGGGGGGTTCCGCGGATGCAAAGCCGACCCTTCCTCTCACCCCTTGGCGTGGGGTTGGCGTGGGTTGGCTTGGGTTTTCTTGGTACGGTATACGGTTTAGAACTATGATCCAGCTACTCAAAATTCCAATTTCAAGAGGGGAATATTGGTGTGATATATTTTTCAGAAACCAAAGGGGGGGTCAGCTCCCCCCTCCGACCCCCCCCTCTAAATCCGCCACTGGCAGTTGAAAAAATATATCAAAATTCGAAATAACAGACGATGGCTTACACTTGCGAGAGATCGGAGCTTGCTGAAATATGTTTCTTTTAAACGCAATTCTAAAAAAAAAAAAGGAGAAAAAAGGGAGAAGTAAACGTTAATCATTAAACATATAAGCCTATAAGGATCGAAAACTCAACCAAAATCAGTTTATTTTATGGAAAGCCTATTTGGCAACGATTATTTGTTACTGAGCTATATATCTAATGCTAATCTCAAAAATGTGTTTAACAAATAAACTGCCGATTTGTGACCGTAAGTCCGTGGGTTATGAAAATGTGGGTATTTGTAGTAAATCTATGAAGTGGTTAAAATATTAATATTTTTCAAAATACGACCTACATTTAGTTCATTATTTACACACCGACACGTGTTAGAAAAGACATAAGAAGTAGAGAGGATAGTCTGGCTAAAAGACAGGCAGTGCATTTGTCCGACGCCTGAATGTGACCGGTGTAGGCCCCGTCCCACAACTGTCGCATTTCGAGTAACTACTACGTTAGTATTGTGGTTGTTGGGCAATGACCATTGCTTTTCACTATTGTTGCTCAGTGCGTCGTATTTTCGTGCGTTTACTACCCGTGGATCGGATTTAAACAAGTATCAGAAGTGCGCAACTAAGTTTTGTGGATAATAAGCAGTATTTGTTTTATATATTTACAACGTTTGCTACAGTGACAATTAGCTTACCGATAGTGTCTTCAACTAGCGTCTCCTATGGCGGTTTTTTCGCTGGTAATCTAGGCCCTACCACACCTGACAGGTGAGGAGAAAATGTATAACCACTAAACACGTAGGGCCCAAAGTCACAGATCAGGTCGTCAGTAGTAAGCTGTTGGCCTTCCAGAGGAAAAGGCATAAAATAAAAGCCCCAGATTGAAGCCATAAACCAGTATAACCCTGTTGTCTGACACCGCCATGGTGTAACACAGGCGGTTACATCTATTGCTCTCCACCCTTCCTGCTAACTGCCGCGAGAACTATTGACAGGTTCATTTGGACGGATAAAAAAAACCGCAAATAAAAGATAAAAGGTTTAGTAAATCAGACTGCATAAGCCAGATTATGTTTAACTCCTTTTCAAGAGCACAATCAAAACACAGATTGGGATATCTCATGAGAGCATTGAAAGGGTCGATCCACGAAGACCGATGGTGTCTATGGGAATGGGTCTTAGATCGAATTCTGGCGTCATTCCACAAAATGTAGATATTTGAGTCATGTTGCTGACACACATTTTTGTGTAATACTTGCACAACCAATATTTATATAACTTTAAAAACACTGTCGACTTCTTTCCATACTGTTGGGCACTATACCATGAAAACCCGATAATAATTTGAGAGGTCAAAATTATGCAATTACACAAAATGAGTCAAGTCACTGATATATTTCATTTCGTTTGCGGCACGATCCTCTTGAGAAAACGGGAGTAAAATCGATTTCATGTCCAGTTTTACTAATGAATGAACAACTGTGTAAGGACAGGGGAAAGGAGAGTGGGACTTTGAAATGTACTCTCATGTAAAACTCATGATACTGAGTTGATGTGTTTTAGTTTCATCCGAAGTATTTGGAGGTTTTTTAACAGTCTAAATTGACATGTTTAAATATTATTGTAAACATAAATAACTGTCAATAACACAATATACAAAGTAAATATCAGAATGTTTATTGAACAGACTTGCTGTCATTACATTATCTACTGCCGTCTCGCAACTGCTCTACTGGTATTTTAGCTTTCAAGACAGACACTGCCCTTGTTAAAATCAGTCACAGTTTTTGTTTTACAGAAATAATAACTACAGAAATGGTGTGAGGCATACATTATAGTTAAGCAATGATGTGGATGACATACACACCATAAAGTGTAGGGTTAGATTGCCAATGTCACTGAATGTGCTTGTCGAAATCTGTATCCAACCTGCTCTCCATTGGAACTGTAAGCAAACTTGTTTGCAGCAAATCCTTGCAAGGACTTCACAAGTCAGTTCTTTTAATAAGTAAATTTGCACTGAAAATCTAATGTAGGACAAAGTGGTAAAGATAACCCACAGACCTTCAGGAAATTAGTTCCTTATGAGAATGTTGTTTATACGGGAGAAGAGTTCTGTCTATGCAACTAAAATTAAGTCGAAAAATGGCAGTATCTAGATAAGGGATGGGTTTTCCTTTTAAGTGACAGTATCCCATTTCAGGAATTGGGCCTCTCTTATTTACCTAATATCCAAGAAGAATTCTTGTTTTTCAATTCTAGGCATCTCTTATTTTCTTGAATACTAGTATGGTGCTGCTACTAAAGGGTTTCAGAGTTATAATAATTAGTTACTTCTTTCTTACTAACATTAGGTTTTCCAACAGTGCAATAATGCTGGTAATAAAAGCAACTTTCCAGCATGCCAGGACAAGAACTTCCTAACCCTTGCCCCCCCCCCCAAAAAAAAAAAAAAAAAATGCACCTTACACATTTTGTATTCCTCATGAAGGGCACACCTAAACATCCACATGGATGTGGCTTTGTAATCTATTTCAATAAAAGCAGTTCAGCCTAACTAACCAGTTACTCTAAAAGCCATACCTTTTTTCACTTTTTATCAAAACACGACATGTTCAATGTGCCAGGCCCCGTTTCACAAATGAGCTTTCAATTTTGGTCTTAACTTTTAAGAGACTGTTTATTCTGACCACAGATAATTTGGCACTAGTCCACTAAAGCAGCAACTTAGCCTGCCTAACAAATTGTTAAAATGTAACTAAAATGTAATAACACTTCACATCAGTCACTTACTTTTACATTAATTTCGTCCTGGTTCACAGGAAATGGCCACACGTTAAGATCAACGTTTGGCTACAATACTAATTTTGTGGAAGGGGGAGGATCTGAAACACCAGAACTTGTGTTACAGTTAACTCTTTCAGTATTGTTTACAACAGTTAATGTTTTGAGATAAATTTACAATTCTGATAGCATGATGGTAGTGGATACAGTAATAATATTTATACCTATAATAATACACACTTAGAGAAGTAAAAATGGTAAGATACATCTTCACTTTTTTCTTAAACAGATTCAACAATAGCAAGGCACAAGTGTGTGCGACTGTTGTGGTATCATTCTTCACCCTAGTGTAGTCTGAGACTCCAGATTTCATCTGATACAAAACATTACACCTAACTTTGTGATACCGACAACAACTAAAATTTGGTCATCTTTCTCCATTTATTTAGGATATTGACAGTGACAACATATCCTTCTTCAATTCAAATATATTGTTACTAGATTCAGAAGAGAAATTATGGTAAACTTTTACAGCAATGTATGCCAAGCTTGTCACATAACACTTAATTGGTCTACAACATATTGGACACTATAATAATAATAGTAATAATAAAATTGTATTCCATCCATTTCAGGATAGAAATGCCATTAGTTCAGTCAATAATCAACCAGAGTTCATAACCCTACTTAAAATATTCATGACCCTACTGAATATTCATGACCTGGCCAGGCTCATTAAGCTATGACCAGAAGAGGCAAATAAACTACCATGACTTCCATGAAAGCTAAATTGTTCAAAATATGGCAGATCCTCCTCCATGTTCTCGGCGTCCATAGCACCTTGCTCTGGAGGCGTAAGCTGGACATCCTCTCCTGTAAACTGCTGTTCGAAGTAACGTGTGTCTGTCTCGGAGGTCACCTGGGGTTTGAATGGAGGCTCCACCTGATGAAAATAAACACATACACAATTGAGCAGTCTGCATCTAATACTTTACATCCCACTGGTCAATTTAACTAGCACACCTAGGAAAACTACCAGTCCCAATCAAAATTCACAGATCCAACTATGAAATTACAAATGATGGGAAATGAATTTTAAACACACAATAAAATTTCTACAAATCACATCAGACCTTAAACTTTAACAAAAACACATGTTTACAAACCAAAGCTAAATCTGACTGTCATCACAGTCTAGGAGGGGTTGCTATGGCAGAGTGCCACATAAAGGATGGAGAAAATCGGATGAATTAATAAAGGGAAGACTTGAAATGCCATAACAAAAATAGTGCTGTTTACTTACAATCCAGACAAAGTATGCAAATACAATTTAACAAGCTGACAAGACCATGAGATCAATAGAAGCATTCAAGGTATTGCAATACATTGGTCAAGACAAAGCATCTTAATCTGCAGTAACCTTACCTTTTTGTTGACAAGATCCTCCCACGGGATGTCCTTGAAAAATGGATGTACCATGATCTCTTTAATGTCATCCTCACTCCCCCCTAATCTGAAAACAAAAAGTACATGACTTGTTTTGTGCACTAACATTTTCAAAAAATCATTTTCACTTCAATGAATTTACCTTATACTAAAATTCCATACATAGAACAATTTAACTTATCAAGTATGACTTGAAGAATACTGTGAAGTAAAAGAAACAGAAGTTGTGTTTCCATATGAAGAATAGATTAGTTTGAGACACCATTTAAAATCTGTCTAAAAATCAATGACCATTCTAACCATAATGTGACATACCTTCTTGCTGGATCTTTAACTAAAAATCCTCCAAGCAATGATCTGGCTTCTGGTGATAAAGTTTTTGGAAAGCGAATGTCATCCATTAAGATCTGTTCAAATAGTGCTTCATGGTCACGATGGTAGAAGGGCAGTCTTCCACACATCATCTCGTACATCACCACACCTGTACCCCACCAATCCACTGCACGACCGTAATCATTGTCCTCTAACACCTTTGAAAGAAAGATTTCAGATCAATTCATATCTTAACACAAAATATCACTTCTTAGAGCCTAAAAGAATAAAATTATGTTTACTAGTCACTTTAAATATTTCTGCACATTTAGGAGGGGTTATCAATAGCTACTGACATCACTGGAGTTTAGCTCACTCTTCTGTAATACAAATTGCAATAAGCACTGTTCTACACTTGCAAAGAACAGTTTAAATAGACAGTACTCCTGCATATCAAAATAAATACCTACTCCAGTATTTCTCTTATGCTATAACAACTATTATCTAAAACTTACTTTTTATGCACACTTTTTATGCACATCTCTTCCTTGCACACTTACGTGTTCTAAACTATATGAAAACCCAGTGGTAACAACTAGCTTATAAACAATGTCTACAATCTCAGATACTGATAAAATTGTTGTAAAAACAACTGCTAAAATTTTCATTAATCCAATTGGTCTAGTACTAGTAACTCTAAATTTTCCATTTATTACATTTTTGGATGGTCCAAAAATCAAACTTTTCCTTCCGGTATGACACATCTGTGAAATGCAACTAATAATGAAACAGAAAGAAAAAATGAAACTTGCTAGTAAATTCTTAGTTTTCAACACCACTCATTTGTAGACCAAAGCTGATAACCCTGAATGCAAGTAAGTCTGTACCTCTGGTGCCAAATATTCTGGGGTCCCACAAAATGTCTTTGTGCTGGCTCCAAATGACATCTCTTCCTTGCACAACCCAAAGTCTGCAATCTTAATGTGTCCATCCTTGTCCAACAATAGGTTCTCTAACTGATGGAGAAAAAACAGATCAAGATAATGTTAATCATTCTTGTATATGGTTAACATCACAAGACCAGCTGCTAAAAGGCAAGTTTAATATTTAAAGCAAATTATGTTCAAAAGCTAGTTGTGATGAAAATAATAAGTAATGAAAGGATGATCCTCCAGTAGCGAGAGGATGACTCTGCTACGTCATTTCAAATGGTTTTTTTACCTTTTTGCCAACATAAAAAAGAACTTTTTTAAAAATTATGTTTATATATTTCATAATTGTGGAAGCTACAATAATATTAAAACCTTCCTTTTTTCCTCATGAAGATAGCAAAATCTTAACCTGGGTATATATTAGTGTAAAATCATATTGTGTAATTTAATAATTATAATTCCAAAATCTTTAAAAACATTTTGTGTCCTATACATTTTCTGTGGCATGNTCTTATGCTATAACAACTATTATCTAAAACTTACTTTTTATGCACACTTTTTATGCACATCTCTTCCTTGCACACTTACGTGTTCTAAACTATATGAAAACCCAGTGGTAACAACTAGCTTATAAACAATGTCTACAATCTCAGATACTGATAAAATTGTTGTAAAAACAACTGCTAAAATTTTCATTAATCCAATTGGTCTAGTACTAGTAACTCTAAATTTTCCATTTATTACATTTTTGGATGGTCCAAAAATCAAACTTTTCCTTCCGGTATGACACATCTGTGAAATGCAACTAATAATGAAACAGAAAGAAAAAATTAAACTTGCTAGTAAATTCTTAGTTTTCAACACCACTCATTTGTAGACCAAAGCTGATAACCCTGAATGCAAGTAAGTCTGTACCTCTGGTGCCAAATATTCTGGGGTCCCACAAAATGTCTTTGTGCTGGCTCCAAATGACATCTCTTCCTTGCACAACCCAAAGTCTGCAATCTTAATGTGTCCATCCTTGTCCAACAATAGGTTCTCTAACTGATGGAGAAAAAACAGATCAAGATAATGTTAATCATTCTTGTATATGGTTAACATCACAAGACCAGCTGCTAAAAGGCAAGTTTAATATTTAAAGCAAATTATGTTCAAAAGCTAGTTGTGATGAAAATAATAAGTAATGAAAGGATGATCCTCCAGTAGCGAGAGGATGACTCTGCTACGTCATTTCAAATGGTTTTTTTACCTTTTTGCCAACATAAAAAAGAACTTTTTTAAAAATTATGTTTATATATTTCATAATTGTGGAAGCTACAATAATATTAAAACCTTCCTTTTTTCCTCATGAAGATAGCAAAATCTTAACCTGGGTATATATTAGTGTAAAATCATATTGTGTAATTTAATAATTATAATTCCAAAATCTTTAAAAACATTTTGTGTCCTATACATTTTCTGTGGCATGAAAAAAAAATACAAACCTTTAGATCTCTGTATACTATGTCATTCTCATGTAAATATCCCAGTGCAGATATAATTTCTGCACCATAAAATCTAGTTCTTTCCTCTGAGAAAACCCTCTCTCTGGACAGGTGAAAAAACAGCTCTCCACCATTCACATATTCCATTACAAAACACAGCCTGTCTTGGGTTTGGAATGAATATTTTAGTTGCTGGGGAGAAAAGGCATGAATAGGTTATACATACATTCATTCATATAACAACTAACAATTATGAAGTCATATTTTATAATTCAAAATGATGCCATTTGATCTGAGTGGTTAAGATTTTCATAAACATCAAAGATGAAAGTATGTTGTTGATATACTTACAGTGAGAAATGGATGTCTTGTGGTCTGTAAAACTCGATTCTCAGTTAAAGTGTGAGCTACTTCATCCTGTTAAAATGATAGAAAAAAAAAAAAACAAATGACATGGACTAATCACTATGTGCCATTTTGATTAACAAAAGACAATGACTACGTGATCCTCAAATGTTCAAATTTTGAAAAAATGGCCCGATCATGCTGATTTTCAAACTTGACCTATATTTTATAATATTCATCAGTTCCGTATATTTGAAGACAAAATGTAAAATGGATTTCCATTTACAGTGTTATTGCTGAAAGCGCACAGCAACGACCGCAACAGCAGCAAAGACAGACACAGGCGACAGCTATATGTCCAGACACATCTGTGTCTGTACATAAAAAGGAAGATTAGTCATGTCTGAATAGTGATTAAACTGTCACAAAACTGTTAGCTGAGGGCTAAATTCTCACAAAATCACAAAATCAAACAAGGAAGATAAACAAAAAATACACCATGTTTTCATCACAAAATATAACTGATCTACTTCTAAACATTGGCGCATATGCACTTCCTGATATTCATGATGCTTTCGTAACATGTGCCTGTTTTAATTGATTACTGAAAAGCTTTCATAACATTGCCTGTTGCAAATGATTACTGGAAAAGATATTTTTCTCAGGAGATCACAATATCAGATCCAGCATTAATCAATATGAAAGCATAGGTTTCACACTCAATGTCACCTTTGAAGGGTAATCATTCAGCTCTGCTGAATGTCAAAATAAAGTAGTACAGTTGTTTCTCATTCAACTGCACACAACACAAAAAATAATATGTGACTGTGTAATCAAAAAATAACTTGTAAAATGTTTGAAATAGAAAAAAGGGGTAAAACTGTAAATGTACAGACATTAAAGCAAATAATGATGCAATTTTACAGTAATGCAGTAATATTACCTTTGCAATTATAACAGATTTCTTCAGTATCTTGATTGCAAACAGGTTGTTTGTGGCACGCTCTCTGCACAAAATGACTTTACCAAATGTTCCTTTTCCCAGCACCTTCAAGAACTCAAAGTCTTCAAGGCCCTAAAAGATCATCACAAATAAAAAAAATTAAATGCAAAATTCAGATTTTAAACATTTTTTCACAATAGGAATTCATTAAAACTTTCATGCAAGTTATTCGGAATCAGTGATTTTTTTTTTTTATTTATCTATTTACTCATTTGTTCACTTTTTGAAGGAATTCCCTTTTACTTGATATCATTTAAAGTAGCAAGTAAATAATATTCTTTTTTCATTATTTTGAGGTTTTATTAACAAGTATTATCCGTCAACAGATGCTTCACAACTAAATGTATCAAGAAATAAAACAGTTAGTGATTCAAAACATATCATTTTTGCTACTTCCCAAGTAAGTCTCAAATAGGTTGTAATAAATCCGTGTTAGAGTAAAAGAGACTGCACTTTGTAATAGGGTCTGTCAAATTAGTGACCACAGAAAACATGTTCTACTTTTGACCCTGTTGTGAGTGCTTTACTTCCTACCAAATACCATACTGGCTGAAAAAGTAAATAGTCAAAAAAAAAAAAAAATCTAGACAGAAAGATTGTTTGTGTAGTTACAGAAATGAAGTGTTTTCAGTGACAAATATTTAACAAATTCTGACATATGCTTTAAGTTGGCATAGGCCACTCAAAGCTTTTAGCATCAATTCAACACCTTTCTATTTTGAGGTGAGACAGCAATCGATGTGGCGCGTAACTTCACCCCAGAACAAGATTTTATCAATAATAATTGGTATAGTTGACTACTATGGGCTTCAATTCTGTAGCGTCATTTTGGCTCAAACATTTTTTGTTACGGAGTTATGAGCCCCTAATTATAGATTTTCTTTAAACAAAGGCATTATTTTTCTTTGTCAACAATAAAATCTGAACTAAGTTTTTTAAGAAAAATTGCTGCCGTGTTTTGGAGTACTTAATGATGTCATTAAATTGGCGTTGAAACTATGTTTTATGGGTTCTCAGGTAAAGGAGAAATTTGAGAAACCAATTTCTCCATTTTTACCCCAAAATCACAATTATGAAGTCACCTGTAAGATGACGTGTATAAATGTTAATTCATTTGGTCACTGAACAAAGAAGATTTATCTGTTATCCAAAAAAAATGGATGTAAGGCAGTGAATAAGGAGTTTTTGGCAAACGTTTAAAGTATCCTTGAGCATGCGCACCATTGTTCTTATCTAAATCAAAGTGTAGCAGTGCAGTTGCAAACACCTGTTGGCTGGCAAAAGTCTGTCCACAAAACTTAATTTAATCATTAAGGATATACTTAAAAACTCTTTAAACATACTTCTAATCAACATTTTGGCAAAGACAACATATCTAAATATGGCACAGAATAAATCAAAGTAGTCAGGCTCAAGTTAAAAAAAATCACTGACAGAGCCATTTCTTAGAAATGACTGCATGACGTACCACTTTCTTTTGAGGTTTCTTGGTATGCAGCTGTGAAGAGCCTGGGTTTTCACTAGTCTTAAGTCCTGCAGACACTGACTGAATGGCATGGACCCATTCTTCCCTGAAATGAACAGAATATATGACACATTTTCCCAGCACCATTTATATCTGCTTTTTAAATGTGAAGCCCTATAGAAAAAATATAAAAAAGAAAAATATTTACCAATATGTAACCTGAAATATTATATAATATATATATTGTGACTTGTACTGATAGGTAGCATTCAATTTCTAATAAATGTAAACATTCAAAATTTTAGTTGCACCTTCCTTTTTTAAATTCAACAGTTAAATGCAAGACCTTGTTATCTTCTAATTTTATGTCATAGCTATTCCTATATATATGCAATATTTGCAAGCTGATGCGCGCATGTGTGTGTGTGTGTGTGTGTGTGTGTGTGTGTGTGTGTGTGTGTGGAGACCCTATGTAAAATTACCCTCTATTTTTGCTTACCTTTCCTCAGCAGTTTCCACATAGAACATACGCTCCACCACTGTGGTCCACTGCAGTCCACGTATGAGGATAGTATTTGGTTTGGGCTTTTCTGACCTGTATAACTGGCATTCTGTAACAACAACAGCATTTGTGTAAAGCAGGATAATGAATATACTTACTGCAGATGTGAAATCCACACTGTTTTGAAACAACAATTAAGCACAATTTATTTTATTTTTATTTTTAATTTTTGTCAATTTTTTATTTATTGCGTTAACTTATCATTCAAGTATATTTTTATCTAAACCAAAATTTCTCAGTGATATGAAGGGCAAAACAAGAGAAACAGCTAAGTAACTTAGGATTTTAAAAAAGTAAAGCATGGATTTGACATATATTGCAAAACAGATAAATATGAATAGCCAATCTGTTTTTAATCTAAAACATCTGGAATAGTAAACACAAGAAGGCTGATTCCCAATCAAAGGCTATAGGCTAAAGTGAGACCACTTACAACATGATTGCTTATTTTGTGTACTAAGCCTATGACAACCAGTGTACAACATAACATAACATGAAAACATACCAATAAGTTCTTCTGGTCACCCTGACATAACCTTGAGTCACACTGACAGGCTTATGCAATTCTGTGAAGTTCAGATAGCTATTTGTGGATTCTTCATTTTAAATAATCTTTCTGCTTTCCTTTCAAATAACCTGCAGTAGTGCCCCAAAGGCTTCTTCCGCGTGTTTCTTTTTGTAAACATGTGTACTTTACGCAAAAAATCCTATTTTAATTAGAGTAAAAACAAGAACAGTGCTCCTTATTATAAGAATGACTTTAGCAAAATTAAGAATGCATTTCATGCTATATCCATTGATGGTATCTGTATCTTGCGGGTCAAGATGTCAGAAAACATAACATTGGTTTTCCTTTCTGTCTACAATCCAACTAGAGGATGAGAGTTTCAATACCACTGCCAAGTATGGTAGCTATGGATGCATCTGTTTTAGCTGTGGAGCAATAAGGTCTGATAAATATGCAAAGTGCATTTTAAAAGGGAAAGTAGGTCAAGGCAAAATTCAAGGTCACATTAAGATGACCAATGTATGATTCCCTATTCAAGTTCAATAGTACTATGGGTGGAAAATGTGCAAAGTTCAATTCATGGTAAAAGGAAGGTCAAAGGTCAAATTCAAGGTCACATAAAGATTACCAATATATGACTTCCCATTCAAGTTCAACAGTAACTATGGATTTATCTCTACCAGTTTTGGAGGTATAAAATTCAGTAAGTTCAGTTCAAGGGAAAATAGGTTTAAGGTCAAGTTCAAGATCAGTAAGTTATGACTTCCTATTCATGTTCAATAGTAACTATGGGTGTATCTCTACCAATTTTTGGAGGTTTTTAACATTTTGCTTGCACCATTGAACACTGCGACATTGCAGTTTTTGAAATATTACATCTCCTAAACAAAATGGAGAAAAATGGGTTTTTGTAGATGTTGAAAATTGTCACAAACAAATATTTCTTTTTGCAAAAAATGAAGACATTTACAAAATTTTGGCCCATTTGACACTGAAATTAAGGTCAAAGGTAAATCCAAGGGCATATTTGAAAACTTCACATATGACTTATGGTCAGACTTC